GATTCGCTAGTTTGATGGCCCAAAATCTAAACAATTGTTTAGTACAACCATAGACACGTTGTTGAAGAAAACCATGCGCGCCATAAATATCAGAACTCAACCTTAAATATTGTGAGAAAAAAAATATAATGAGGATCTATGGCCGACTGATTGATTGGTTTATTTTTGTGAACAATTTTGGAATATTTTTTCCAGATATAGGCGCGATGAGGTTGAAGGAAGGTTGTTATGAATTATGTACGTAATTTATATTGCGTCGTTGGTCGAGTGTACTTCTTTTATCTCCGGTTTGGGTACATACAGCATTATTGGGTTTTGATTAAATAATTATTTACTTGTATATGTCTTCCTTAAAACTAGTTTTGGAATTAGGTAAGTATACTCTTTATTTTTGGAAATAGTTCAGATTCCTATTACTATACAGTACCATTCAGTAGACACCTGTTCTGGTTCTGGTAGACACCAACAGCTGTAGCCAAATGCCACTTAGCAGTTAGCAGTAAATTTTGACACTTGTCAGTGCCATCCCCATACATTTTGATTTCTACTTGCTCTGTGGACAAGCGCTAAAGTGGCGTTTGGCTAAAGTCACAGGTCCGGGTAACAAGATCTTAACGTTGTAAAATGTAGTTTTCGATACTAGACGAATGTTGGGCCAACTATTTATTATTGTTTGTAGCCATTAAACCTCGCTAAACTAAAATAAAAACATGTTAAACATACATGAAAGTCACTTTGATTCTTTAACGATTTTTCATATTTGTTTTTGCAATATTCTAGTTGAGTGAGACTATCATCGTTTGAGATCTCGACTGCAATGATTTCTGTACCTAACTTTGATAATCTATACTAATATTATAAAGCTAAAGTTTTTGTTTGTTTGTTTGAACGCGCTAATCTCCGAAACTATTGGTCCGATTTGAAAAATTCTTTCTGTGTTGTATAGTCCATTTATCGAGGCATTTCTCGATAAAATAACATTGTATAGGCTATAAAATTATCACACTACGATTAATAGGCGCCGAGCAGAGCGAGTGAAACTGTGCGGACGTAGCTAGTGCTATATATATGCCAGCAGATCCTCCATATTTTTGAATTCAGTTCATTTGTTGGGATTCAGGGATTAGATTTAAGGAGGGGCAATAATTGGGCCTACGGTAATTTAACTCACATAATGAGGCTGTGGTATCACTCCCGTCGAGCCGACCCATTCGTGCCGAAGTATGGCTCTCTCACACTTAAAACATTTGTATGACATAAAGTCGAAATATAAAAATCAATGAATAAATCTGACAGATTGGAGTAGATTGATCAGGTGGCCATTATACATAAATGTACTTATCAATTTTGAAACTGCTGCCATGCCATACGGTTTCTTTCTAATTATAAGTTGCGCGAATTCGCCTTAACCAGGAATGGTGATTTGGTAGTTATGGTTATGAAATGGGGATTATAACATAACTCTTTGATACTTCTGTTGCATAACCGGATTTTTTCGCCTTTTTATCGAATCCGGAACCTGAAAATTAAATATCGTACACCAGTAATACACACAAACTAATAAACTACGAATTAAATAAACGTAGTAATCGAAAATGCCAGTACAGATAATTGAGGTAAATGCACCAATCACCGTCCGTACAAGATCCTGTTGGATCGGTAAACGATTTTACTTGTTGCTATTTCAAGCTTTTGTTAATCAAGACTTGGTATGCGAAATGATGAGGAAAATGTATCTTAGTCATACATTACAAACTTTGAGGAATTTCGTGTGTTTATAATTCTGGTTTTCGCCTGTTCTTGTTAATATATCGATCGAAATTAATAGTTCGGGTGTAGGAAAATACAGCACGTGGTCTGTGTAATGTGTACTTTACCTTATAGATGAGAATGTAGTGATCTTCAGTTGTTTTCTTTTTTGTTTTATTCTAGTCTTTTTGTTTTGGTCATGATAATCATCCAATGAGCATAAGAGGAAATTTGCCGTAGTCTTCAAGGTTGATAGGGGGTTTGAGATGAGACCGCAGTTTGAGGTCCAATTTTATCCGAAAGTGCTTTTTTTTGTTTTTTTTTATGGCGGGGAAAATCATCCAATGACTTCTCCCGCTCAGGAGAGGCGAGTGTCAGACTATTACTTACTAAAAAAAATCTTGTCTTTGTTTAATGTACTTAGAAGACCTTTGACATTGACTCTTACGACTCGTGACGTACTCGTACGCCGTTCTCGAGTTTAAGCGAGACTAACGAACGGAAATTCATTTTTATCTATAGATTAGGACTGCCTCATTGGCCGAGCAAGGGGTCTCGGGTTCAATTCCCGGGTCGGGCAAAGTATTACTGGGTTTTTTAAAATACTCAGTAGTAGCACGGAGTTTGAAATTGTGCCCGGTATATGGCAATACGCTCACCCCCTATTACATGGGACTCATAACATAAATAGTGGAAAGTGGGTGCTACATTTGTGGTGAGTGGCATTAACACGTTAAACGCCACGGGGGTCACCGGTGACCGACGTTAGCGGAGGATCTACCTTCAAAAGTTTTTTATTGGCAGTCAAAGTCTTAAGTGCCGTAATGTGAACTTCTACATACCCCTTCGGGGATAAAATGCGTGATGTTTAGATATCCAAGGCGTGCTTGCACTATCGACAACTAGATGCCTATCAAGCTGTTTCGTTTCATCTCGTATATGTTATCACCGGTAGGTACCTTGAAACGAAAGTAAAGCTCGCTATTCGTGTGGGACTGATTTTATATCGTTACTCGTAAAACTAGTTTTTACTCATAATAAACAATCGTATAAAAATAGTTCATTGATGCAGTCTGGGTTTCTTATCTTTTTATCGTGTGTAGGAGTAGATTTGATTGTAAAATATTCGATATGTATGTCTATCTGCTCCACAGCTGTTAGAAAAGACTGATGGATGTTGATGAAGAGAATGGGGTATGTGGGAATCGTAGGAATTGACGTTCCATAATCTCTGCTTACCCCCATGGGAGATAGGCGTGAGGATATGTATGTATGTAACTGCCCCAGATGGGTATTGATGGCAGAATGGAATACAAAAGGGGGTGATGACACCCCCTTCTGTATTTTTTTGAGGGGGGAAAGTCATCCAATGGCTTCTCCCGCCTCTCGCGACTCTTACTGAATAAAAACCACCCCGTTCCTACTCCTGCATTTCGAGCCGGAGCTCCGGCAACCCGCTAAGTCTTCCGCGGCTCACGTAATCACCCACCATCACCACGAATATCGTAAGAGCTGACTGTGGCCCGAATACTGAAAGACAACCCAATTTTATGTTGTCCTTATATATCGTTCCATCTCTGTCACTTTACAAAGAGTTTGTAGGGATAGAACTTCACTTTTGCGCATCCTAAAATTTTGTGGCGTTTGTGTATTTGGACATAAAGGACCCGAGACGCGATAGCTTCAGAGTCAGTGCTCTTTGATAACATTGAACTTTTAAAACTGTAATCCAACTAATCTGTTCAAGCTAAAAATGACGGCAAAACCTCTTTTTGTGAAAGAAGCCTATGGACCTCCTTTACAAAAGCTCCAGCAGTGTTCTGTAAAGGCATGTTGATCGTGATATAGCTACTTACTACAGTGGATTATTTTAACTCAAGAATCGTTTAGTATTGATCTATTGACGAACAATTAACCTTGCTGTCCAAGCCTTCATCCATTTTTGTACACTTGAAACTGCCTATCCTTTATGGACTGACAATATAAAAACAATGGACCTATATTTGTAGTGGATTATTCTACTCGTATTATAGTATCTGTCACAACTCGTGTCATATATTTATCTGAAAGGATCATAACTATATTCGGTTAAAATAACCCGACACAAGACCGAGATGCGGTGAACTCGTAAGCGCAACCCGGTCACAGCCACATGCAAAAGAGGAACTCCGCGGTGGTCTTAGTAAGAATCTGGCATGCCCACCCATCGTCCTCACGATGTGGGAAGTCTATGAGTATTTCCATCGTAATAAGCCGAGCCCGAGGCAGAGACTATTTGAGGTCCCAACCAGTCGCACTAACATAGGTCGATATGCTCCTGTGGCTAGAGCTATTAAAATAATTAACAGAGTTGGACAAAAGGTTGATATTTTCTGTTGCTCATTGGCGGAGTTCATAAAGGTAACGACTGATGTTGTTAGTTGTACATATGTAGTTAATGGATAAGTACATAGTTGTTATAAGTTTTTATATTAAGTTTTTATTTAAGTTTTTTTATTAATGCTAATTATAAGTTTTTACATTAAGTGACAACATTATCGCATTGGGTGTAACCTGTTAGGATGTGTTGAATAAAATAAAATAAAATAAAATAAAATAAAATAAAATAAAATAAAATAAAATAAAATAAAATAAATAAATAAATAGAAAAAAAGACCTAGGCAGTATCTCCGACCACCGTAAGCAGAGACCTGCGGAAGGCAAGCACGAGGAGTTTATCGCTCGACCAGAACCAGACCCGAGCGTACGGCGCGTTACGTTCCGCAAATGCCTCAAAAAGCCATCAGACCACTATAGATGAGGCCCAAAAGGGCTAATGTCGATACGGAGATGCGGAGGACTTAACGGGTTGCTGGGCTCGAAGTGCAGGAGTAGGAATGGGGTGGTTTTTAGTCAGTAAGTCTGGCACTCCCTCTCGCCTCACTGAAAAAGTAGAAATCATTGGATGATTTACGCCCTCAAAAAAAAAAAGAAAGAAAATTAATCAGGCAGTTTAAACGTTCGTTAATTTAAAGATCATGAAATATTGATTACCTACCTAATCGTTAGAGTTCAAATAAACCACATAGGTGCATCGCTAGCAGAGGAGCATTTGCCATCATCAGTTTTCTTTCGACAATTAATCGATAGGAGTTATCATATTAAATTCAGATATAGCAATTTAGTAAGTTAAACGATCTCAATCTCTAAATCGATCCATAAAATAGCAAAATGTCCTTCTCTAATTATCCTTTATTTGTTTCTTCTTACAGAGGTTTTGGGGTCCTCAGATAGACCCCCGACTGGCGCAGTTCCTCACCAACTTCTTGTTCGGGTATGGACCGAACAAGTCGCCATCTTGCGACTTCAACAGATTCGCTGAGCTATACGTGTATAATGTTAGGGGTGAGTTTATATATTTGTTTACTAGCTTCTGCCCGCGACTTCGTACGCTCAATCCCGTTTCTCCCATTTCCGTAGGATTTTCAGGACTTTACTGTCATAAGGACCTTGTCCTGGTGATAACAAACACAACAAAAATAAAAAAACAGCCAAATCGGTCTAGCCGTTCTCAAGTTATGGCGTGACAACGGGAAACGGGTTTCATTTTTATAATTATACTAGCGGACCCAACAGACGTCGTCCTGCATATCCACTTGAATGTATAAACAAAAATTCATTCAAATTTGTTCATCTGCTTAGGATAAATAACCTTAACATCGACTGCAGCGCCATCTGCCGGGCTGATTTGTGAATCTAAACCATTCCCAGATCCCCTTGAACACACAAAAAAATTCATCAAAATCGGTCCAGTCGTTTGAGAGAAGTTCAGTGACATACACACACAGAAGAATTATATATATGTATAAAGATACAAATGTGCACAAATAGACTCAGATAAAATTATAATTATGTAGCATTATCGTTAGTTCCGTAATTGGGCAAAGAATTATTTAATTTATGGTTATTTGAAAGTAGAGGACTAAGGGGGAGACCTTTGTCTAGCAGTGGACGTCTTCCGGTTGATGATGATAGTCGAAAGTTTCTGAATAATGATAGGAAGAATTTAGAAGTTATGTCCAGTATAATATGGCAAGGGTCTCCTACCATTAAACAGGAATCATATTAAGAGAACTGTTGAAAAGCTGTATATGTGACTAGCTCCTTGGAGATAAAGAGGCGTAACGTTAAATTGTGTAGAAGAATTTGGAAAGTTAAACATTTGGTATTTCGTTTCGTCTGTTGCAGGTACGTCAGAGGAGCGTATGATGGTGGCATACAACAGTCTTGGTATGGACTTCAACGATACTATTGAGCTGCCTTACCAACTACTTAGAGAGGTAACATTAGATTATTTAGCAATTTCAAATTTAACACAATACAACACACAGTCTATTTTTGCTTACCTTATCCTAAGTCAACATAATATGGTATAGCTTAAATGTGTGAGACAATTTAGACTCTCTATTTCTATCATCATATGTCAGTGTCGTTATATTACTATCTTGTGCAAGTTTTCGATGTAAGTACAATCGAAATCGATTAATATTTAGCACTAGGTGACCCGGCAAACTTTGTACCATCTCTAAGATTATTATTCTCATTCCTTTTAAACGTACCCTGGACTCCCACGAACATTTAAAGACCAAAATTAGCCAAATCGGTTCAGATGTTCTCAAGTTTTTGCGAGACTAACACCTGGAAATTCATTTTTATAACATAACATAAGATCACGCCTTTTAGGCATAGGCAGAGTTGCACATTATGCCACTGTACAATGTAACACCAACTTTTCACTATTTATGTTATGAGTCCCATGTAATAAGGGGCTAGCCTATGACCATATACCGGGCACAATTCCAGACTCCCTGCTACTACTGAGAATTTTTAAAAAACCCGGGTAATACTTTGCCAGACCCAGAAATCGAACCCGAGACCCTTTGCCCGGCAGTCGCATTTGCAATCACTCGGCCAATGAGGCAGTCATTTTTATATATATATATATATAGAATATAAATAATCGTCATCATCATCAGCTATTCTCTGGCTAAGCCTGACCGTGAATCTTTCTAACAGCAAACCTTTGACCTCGGTCGCAGTCTCTTTACGCCAACCACTTTGCGAAAAATAAAATTCGTAAAAAAGTCTAAATTATCTCATTTTTCCCGCAGTATTGCGAAAGCATAGCCTCAACATACATAAAGGTATTAAAATCCGCGTCCTCAAGCCGAGCTAAGACGTGGATCAACAAGGGGTTCCGTGGACGCGCGTCGCACGTCCAGGCGCTGGGGGAGGCTATCGCGGCTAGCGTCGAGGGGGACGCTGACGTCACGCTCAACGCTTGCACCTCCAACCAGCTTAACAAATGGTACGTGGAACTTCACAGAGTGTATTAATTGTTATTTGTCAAAGTCAAAGCATTTATTTCAATTAAACCATAGTTTGGTACTTTTGAAACGTCAACAAATACAAAATAAATAATAGTCTGTCAGTCAGTCCGTCAGTGAAATTAGGTGAAGCTAGGTGCTCATTCCAAAACGTAGATTCGAATGGAGAAGAACGAGCAAGAAACTCCATTCGTTACTCTTTTAAAAAAGTATGTTCTACAATGTCTCTGATACATATTTCAATACTGTACGCATATGTAAGAACAATGCAAAGACACGCTTGACGCATTATACTAATAACTTACTAAAATAAAAAAACATAAAAATCTTAAGTCCAACATGGTGCTCACATATGCATACTGACAATCCATAGAAATAGTGCTTCTATACAAGAAAAAGGAAACTCTTTGTTTCTAGTTGCTATGTTACTAGTTGCTTGTTTCTAGGTCTAAATACCCATCGCTGAGCAAAGCCTCTTCTCACACGGAGAAGGTTTGAGCATAAATCACCACGCTTGCTCAATGCGGGTTGGCGATTACAAACTGATAATTAGAAATTATGAGTCCAGGTTTCCTCACGATGTTTACCTTCACCGTTAGTCAATGATGTCTAGATAATTTTAGAAAGTACGAATAACTCGGAAAATGTCACATTGGTACTTTTCGTTGGTAGGTTTTGAACCCGCACACTCATGTATGAAGGCCTCCGGTAACCTCACTCACACGACGAAACACAACTCAAGCGCCGGTCGAGCCGGCCCATTTGTGCCGAAGCATGGCTCTCCCACACTTAAAATAATTTATTCAGTGCTGGCTTAGTATTGTATTGATAGTGGATTGAAATCTGTTGGTATTATTGTGTTGCAGGCTACAGCTCAACACGTTACTGCGTCAGATGACGGAGGCGGTGTTCGTGAACCTGTACGGCATCAACAAGAAGACTGGCGACGAGAGCCCCGGGCCAGTGGCGAGGGCGGAGCCCTGTCTTATGCCGTTACCTATAGGTAAAGTTATTAAAAATTGTTTTGGGAGTTTCTTGAGGGTCTCACGTGACGTGTTACTTTTTCACAACGATGCATCATCACTACATATTATATTTATATTATATTATATGTAGTATAAAACAAAGTAGCTATCCGCTAGTAGTAGATATCTTATAAATTGCCAAGTAATTTGTCGACATACTGAATAATTACCAAAATTTTGCAGTCTATTACAATACAGACCTGAGATCTACTGAAAAATTATTTCTCTGTCTGTCTCGCGGTATGCTTGGTAAAAGTATGTCCGCTCCAGTCCGTTTAGTACAAGGATGAAATCTTCATAGTTATATCATCGCGTAAGCCATCAGACCACCACAGATGGGGGGGCCCAATAGGGCTGATGCCGAAACGGAGCCGCGGAGAACTTAACAGGTTACCGGGGCTCCAGCTCAAAGTGCAGGAGAAGGAACGGGGTGGTTTTTAGTCAGTAAGAGTCTGACACTCCCTCCCTCCACACCCAGGCGGGAGAAGTCATTCGATGATTTACCCCCCTTAAAATAAATACCGTCACGAAATAAGTATCATTAATATCTTCTGTAGTGTGTAGTGTTATTACCTAGCGTACACATGGTTTTTCTTTCTCTCTTCACCCAGGTTTAGACTCGATGCCGGACTACCCAGCCTTCATAGACCTGTCGCACATAGTGTGGCTGAACAGTCACATCCCGCAGAAACACCAGGACAAGTGGAGGTTCCTGTTCTCCTCACATATACACGGCGAGTCATTCTCCACCATGACCGGTACGTACAATTGGTATTGTTCTTTAAAATGATCGATTTTTGACCTTATTTCAATAGAATGTAGGTCTAAATCCAATTTTAAGTTCGTTTATTATTTTTTTTGTGTTTGTATTTGTTTATTTATATCACAAAAAAGCCGAAGAATTGTATAATAGTTACAGCTTATTTAAACGCCAACTTCAATTCGAGTATGCTCGACTAATTTTGAACCACATCGGGGTCTATAATAATATGATCTTTCAACAAATTGAGCGCTCCGAACACATAATTTAAAAGTTCGAAACTCAATAAATACTCTCGAAATCCATGCATACACTTAGAAAAACTACAAATAAATTGTCAATTCCAGGCCGTATCCAAGATCAGGGCGCTTCTCTCCTAATAATTGAGGACAACTCAGGCTACATCTTTGGAGGCTACGCCCCTGCATCATGGTCGCTGGGCCCCAACTTCGTGGGCACTGATGAGTCGTTCCTGTTCACCCTCGCTCCCAAGATGCGAGTCTACCCAGCCACTACGTACAACAACCACTATCAGTACATAAACCATCATACTAAGACGCTGCCTAATGGATTGGTGAGTTCTTTTTACCGGCCTTTTGGGGATAAGGATTTTTTTTATGGAATAGGAGGCAAGCGAGCAGACGGAACCTGATGGTAAAGGTAAGCGATCAGCGCTGCCTATGGACACCCGCAACACCAGAGGAGTCACAGGTGCGTTGCCGGCCTTTTAAAAAGGAATACGCTCTTTTCATAAAGGTTTGAAGGTCGTATCGGTTCGGAAATACCGCCGACGACAGATCATTCCACAGTTTTGCTGTGCGAGGCAGGAAGCTACGTGAGAACCGCACAGTTGTGGCCTGCCAACCATCTATATGGTGGGGATGTATATGCTGTCGTGAGGGTCGATGGTGAAAAGATGCGGCAGGTATCAGGTCAAACAATTCCTCAGAGCACGCCCCGTGGTATAGGCTATAGAAAATGCACAATGAAGCTACATCTCTACGCATCGTCAAAGTGTCTAGCCGGTTTGAAACATCCCAACATCCAACAATCCAAACTGCACTGGGGTACCTCCGCCCAAAGATGAGAACAGTATTCCATGTGGGGAACCTGCGCCTTATATAGAAGCAGGAATTTGAGGATTGTTGGGGATTCAGGGATTGCGGAGATTTTTTTATGGGATAAGTCGGTTAATGAGCAGACCGATGACTTGGAAGGTAAATAGTGACGAAGTGACCCGGAGGTTTAAGAGCTACTCATGCATGACATATTCGAAACCTACCAACGGCAAGTACCAATGTGACTTTTTCCGAATTATATGTTCCTTGCTAAGACTATCTAGACACCACTGACAAACTGTGAAGGAAAACATCGTGAGGAATCCTGGGCTTATAATTTCTAATTATAAGTTTGAAGTCGCCGACCCGCATTGAGCAAGCGTGGTGATTAATGCTCAAACATTCTCTGTGTGAAAAGTGGCCACTTGTAGGCTGTTGATGTAACATAATAATTATTAATATTTCCAGTTAATGGGCGGACAATTCCACTTTGGTGCTATCTGGGTGAACGGCGACCCGTTCGGCGAGGGCTCGTCGGCGGAGTCGTGTAGTACTTACAAGGGGTACAAGCGACTCAGTAAGGAGCCTAACTTCCGCATCAAGAGCCTGGAGGTCTGGGGCGTCGGAGACAAACCTATGTCTTTGAAAGAATCTGTGAGTATTATTGTTTTATCCTTTATTTCCATTTTTTCTACTGTTACGTGACCTTACTCTAGGTTTTTGCATCACGGTTGCTTTTACAAAAAATCATATCTGCATACACCGAGATCAGGAATAACTATTTGTGAATCACACAAAGTAAAATCACTTTGTTCACAAATAGAAACTTTTATACATCAACATAATTTGACTCAAAATCATGGCCACAATGTGCCCGTTTCGACTCCAAACTTACTTTGAATCTTACTCGTAAAAGGATACAGACTATTTTAAAACTAAAACTGGATAAACATGACAGTCGTCAGGACGCATAAAACATTATTCTGTTGTAGACAAACGAATCTAGAACGAGAAAATTACTTCTAGAACCAAATTCAAAGCATTTATTTCAATTAAACCATAATTCGGTACTTTTGAAACGTCAAAAAATACAAAATAAATAATAGTCTGTCAGTCAGTCCGTCAGTGAAGCTAGGTGAAGCTCGTTCGAATGTACATTCGAATGGAGAAGAACGAGCAATAACTCCATTCGTTACTCTTTTTAAAACAGTATGTTCTACAATGTCTCTGATACATATTTCAATACTGTACGTATATGTAAGAACAATGCAAAGACACGCTTGACGCATTATAGGTACTAATTACAAAGCTTACTAAAGTAAAATAAAAAACTCATAATCTAACATGGTGCTCACATATGCATACTGACAATCCATAAAAATAGTGCTTCCATACAAGAAAAAGGAAACTCTTTGTTTTAATAAAGAAAGAAATTCTAGATGATTTCCATCCCACCCTAATTCCTATCCTTATTCCCTCTCAGCTGGTGACAACGAAGAGCAGTAAGAGTGTACTAGACCCTCACCAACCCGACAGAGCATTCCTAAAGATCTGTGGCAAATATCCAAGTAAAAACATCGGATATTATGACTTGAACACCTTCTGACGTCACAATGTTAGACTACGAAGTTAGAAGTCAGAATGTCAGAAGTTAGAAGTCTGATAATTATGTATATAGACAAATTTATGATACTAATAAACATTTGAACAGATTCTAACGTCAAAATGTTGGATCACGAAGTTCAAAGTCTTATAAATATTGAACATAGTATATTATAGTTGAATTTGTTAAACTGAAGCAGTTGTTGCAAATACTTTAATGAGTTTTAAAGTCAGAATATTAGAACGTGAAGTCAGAAGCTTCATGAAGGCAGAAATCGGTCCAGTATTGATCACAGAATATAGCAATTGACACTATAACTGTTTACTTTAACGAGTTCTGAAGTTAGACCTTGAAGTCAGAATTTCAGAAGTTAAAATTCCTAAAAATATCGAAGAAAAATGTAAATACTTGAATTTATAATAACAATGAAGATGTTTTCAAGGTATGAATTATTAAATAAAGTATTTACTTTACAAGATCATTTCATCTAAATTAACTAAAAATTATGACTGCGCGACATCGCCGCTACCGCGCACGCTGCTCATGAGGAAGAACGGGTCTCCTCTGCGGGTCGAAAGTAGTAGAGCTTTTCTCAGTATTTTCACGTGAGTAACCCGCGATTTTCAGTTAATTTAGTCTGTCTCACTTATATAGTTATTATAAAATCATTTGATCTTGTACTAAATAATACAAGTAATATTTGAAACAGTATAATGATTATTAAATGTATATATTTTAGTAATAGACTGGCCGTATTAATATAGTTGTTGTATACTATTATTGTACTGTAGATTACATTGTATCTTTTTTAACTTGTAAATCTACGATTAAGAAAAATCCGAGAAGTGTTAATGCTCCGGCACGAATGAGCCGGTGCGGCCGCTGACCACGGGTTCACCGAAAACCGACGTGAAACAACGCTTGCGTTTGCGTGTTTTTTCGTGGGACTAGGTTACCAGAAGCCCAGTTATCTCCCTCCCCTCTTCTCCAAACTCCCAATCCCTGAATCCCCAACAATCTTCAAATTCCTAATCCCTAAAAGGCGGGTAACGCACATGTAACACCTTGGTTATCCGTGTGTCCATGGGCGACGCCGATGTGATTCGTCTGCTCGATTACCGGCTTATATAATATATATATATATATATATATATATAAATCCTACTTATCTAATAAGTATTACGTATTTAGAAAAAGGAAATTATACAAAGAATTAACTCGTCGAGTACCGGTTTTGTAGACACAATTATAGAACAATAGGTTGCGGTCACCGGTGACCGCTTGGTGTTTGACAGTTTAATTAGAAATAATTGTTATACCTAGATAACTATTTTTTAATTATTTTTTTTTGCTATTATATTTTACTTCAATTCTAATGGATTTTGAAATCCATTCGTATGTTCTACTATTTTTACTAATATCCCTATAAAAGTACTTCCTACGTAAATTTTGGTCACAGCCACAATACGATTTTATCAAAACTATTAATATATTTAATTTTTTGCAGGACGAAAGGGATCTGAGTGTTCTGGACGTGAATCCTGAAGCGAAGGCTATCCTGGACATGGCAGGCCGCACGAGACACAGCGAGGGGATCCGTGAGCCGCCGCCATTATAATGTAAATACCTAGACTAGATCTAACACTAACTAGCCATAATTACCTCCTATAAAGTCTTATTATATGAACAGTGGTTTATGTGAGTTTGGTATAAAATGTGAAATATTTTTTTTGTGTTTATGTAGTTGCTATTGCGATTGCGAAGTATAGTGTTTTATGTTCGATTTTTTTGCGTTGAATAAATTTTGGCTTCCTGTATTTTCACATAGATTTGCCCTTCTATGTTCGTTTTATACTTAGATGTATTTTCTTTTAAATTATGTTTAAATTCTATACCGAAGCGAAATTATAAGACTTTATAGGGAAGTTTAAAATTGATATAATTATATGAAAATTTAAAGTTTATACCAAAATTAGCTGTATGCCAGTCATTATGCGTATAAGGTATAATTTATACGAATAACGTATTGTCAATAGTGCGTTAAAGGTAACTATAAAAACATTTTCTTTAATTTATTATAATATGCAGTTGACTTGAGAAAACATTTACAAATTCACGTAAAACTTAACCTTATGTTTTGGAAATAAGGTATAATTTCAAACAGTATCAACAAGTGCCATATAAACAAAATAGCATGCAGCAGATCGTAATTTACGATTACTAAGTTTAAGCTTTTGATTTGGCTTTCAAGTAGCCCAAAATACACATATTCAATTCCAAAAAAATTTAACTTACCTACTTTTGCACACCCTATATGTCAAAATACAAGCAACTATTAAAAAAAAAACAATTCCAGATTTAATTTTAACCTCATAAAATTACTGCATACAATAATAAATCTTGTCAATATCAAAATAAGAACTATTATCCTATATCAATTAGTTACCCTTGATGTGCTATTGACAGTGCTTGATACATAATTATATGTCAAGGTATTCAATGAAGTATTTAATTGTTAAAATAACCTTTTTCAAATATCTTTGGTTCATACCATTTCGAATTTTCGTACCGATATTCCTCAAAAATATACACTGTATATATAGCTTTTGTAGCTAGGAAGTCATTATTTTTATATATGTACCTACGTTCCTACATAAATGTATTATTTATTTACAGAAATCTATAACTGCCGAAAAATATAATCTATGACTGACTCGTTGGCCGAGTGGTCGCAAGGTCGACTGCCGGGCAAGGGGTCTCGGGTTCGATTCCCGGGTCGGGCAAAGTATATTGGTTTATTTTGAAAAAATTATTAGTAATAGCACGGAGTCTGGAATTGTGCCCGGTATATGGCAATAGGCTCACCCCCTATTACATGGGACTCATAACATAAATAGTGAAAAGTGGGTGTTACATTGTATAATGACATAATGTGCACCTCTGTCTACCCCTTCGGGGATAAAAGGCGTGATGTTATGTTATGAGTTTAGAAATCTATAACAGTGTCATGGTAGGTTTTTAAGTCTATGAGTCAAAAATGTATTTTATTTTGGTAAAATTAAAGGTGTAGTAAAATTTCACGTAGGTATGGTATCGAAAATCCGTTCCTTAACATCCTGTATATTTCATAGAAAAAATTATTATGACGAATTTTGGATGAAAGTGACGTAATTTCGTAGGTAATATCAAAATATATTCCTTGAAACAATTCTGTTGGTTGTAAAAAAGAATCGATTTTTCATATTAAAAAAAAATAAATAAATATTATTTTTAATCTACGTCCTTAGTTCGAAAACGTCCAATGTATACAATTATGTATCGCACAATTTTATACTTTAACCACCTTAACGTAAGGTTTATAATGAAATTATTAAATTATGATCTTATTATTATTATTATAATTTGACTAGCTTTTAGCTTTTGTCCATGGTTTCGCTTGTTTGTCTGTGTAGAATGTTTTTTTAAGTGAAGTTCGGTAAGTTAAGTGTTACATTGTGTATGACCACTTCTGGCTCTACTTAGCTAGCTATTCTGTTTGTCACCGCTAGAGGGCGCTGCTATAGATTAAGGTTTTTAACCTAATAGTTTTTATAACATCATCATATTTGTTAAGTGATTGGACTGACATGACTTTAGTCGATAGTGGCGCCGTCTAGTGAGAACTAATTTGCCAAGATTCTATTTTGAAGTATGTTAATGGTCTAGTTTGTATATTAATTTCTTTTTAATATTATAAACAGCTGGTTGCTTGAGAAAAGTAATTAAAGATTTACTAGAAGTATAATGTTACTTAAACGAATCTGATTGGCTGAAGAAACTAAATGTAGACTTACGCTGAAATACTCACACGTCACTCAACTTTAAGAATAAGCGAACTTAAGCGATATTCTGTCTCTATAAATTCTTTGGAAAATGATAGAGATGGTATAATTAAGTACAACTTAAAAGTTTCAGTATTCGAGCGTAACAATAGTATGCCTTCGCCTTTAATACAAATAAAAAAAAATCAACCAAAAATATTAAAGAAAGAAAACCTTATTAATACAATACTTACCGAACTTCATTGAATAGTAAATGATCTGTTATACAATATAAATATTAAATTAAATATAATAATAAATAAATAAATAATTATATTATATTACAATCAGCAATAAGAAGTGCATTTATAAATAGAGAGGTGCCTTTGTATTTGTGTCTCGTTTTTAAATTATTAATTATTATTATTATTGTTGTAATTAGTAGCTTTTATTATTTATTTTCTTCATGATCGGCCGCGGAACGCAAGTTTCTACATTGTTTTTTATTTCGCAATGTAATAATAGTTTTCATTTCTAAAATTGCTTTAGTTACGAAAATGTCTTATATATTTCAAAGATTCTTATTTATAAGTAGGATTTCCTAAAGTTTACTTAAATAATAATGTAAATACCCCCTTCCTCAAACCCTGAATTCCCAAAAATCCTCAAACTCCTAATCCCCAAAAGGCGCGTAACGCCTCTGGTGTTTCACGTGTCCATGAGCGGTGATTGCTACCCATCTACTCGTTTACCGGCTTATTCCATAAAAAAATATATAAAGCCAATCTCGCTAAATCTCGAAAACGGCTGAACCGATTTTGGTCTTGAAATGTTCGTGAAACACCAAGGAAGGTTTAATCGATGAGAAAAAATATTTGCCGCTGTACGAAATTTGTCGGGTCAGCTAGTTATTCATAATATAAAATGATAATCTAATAAATAGTCGAAATGAAAATATTCTATCACATTCAATAACTGTGGGAGAGCCATGCTTCGCCACTGGGCCGGATCGACCGGAGTGAAACCACGGCCGAGCAGAAAACTAACGTGAAGCAGCGCTTGCGTTGTGTTTCATCGTGTGAGGCTTATCCCATAAAAAATCATTCTCGTTTCATTTTTGCATAAATAAAAATAATAATATGGTTTGTTAGTACGTGGCCGATCGATATACGTAAACATTCTAACTATGTAGGCGGTAGTCGTATTTGTATATTTGTTGTTGCGTATCTTAAGTTTCCTTATTGCAGTTCAAGTACAGAATGTTGTTTTGTTATATATATATGTAATAGGACATAGGTATAAACCTATGTCCTAAGTCCTAACTCCTATCTCCTATCATCAGCATCATCATCAACAGACAAGTCCTATATCCTATGTAAAGCCTTAACCTATATGTTCGTACATTAATAGAGATGTTATGAATATTTTTATCAATTATTGGCATTCAAATATTGAATGCCAATAACATTTATAATAGTTTCAACGTTAATCAGACATTAATTTATTATGTCAAATTGTTCTAAATTCAATAAATACCAAAAACCGCTTGTAAATTCTTTCCAAATCGCAGGTTTTATGTATGACTCAGTAAAAACAACATCCTGTACTTCCACATACATATATTTTATCTTTAGTTTAATTTGTCTCATTTCATTTCCATACTAGTCATTGCTGTGAATTCATACATTTACTTAAAATAATAATTTTAAATATAATTTATATTTTTTAACCATTTTTGCCAAGAGATGTATTCGTATTTTTAGTTTCATACTTATTTATAAATATAGACATGTTCCAATTTAAAACATCTACCTCGTTGGTCGTGCAAGACGGTCTTATATTATTGCTGACTTAAGTATAATTGCGAATTTTCGCAATATATAACAGCTGCACTATTCTATAATTGACCTAGAACTTTCGAAGTGAGCTCGATCACATTCTGGCCCGTCATTGGTCGAGATTGTTCTCAAAACCAATGACATTGCGGACGATCGAGTTCACTTCTTTTGAAATGAAAGTTACAGAAAAGCTTAGAAGCTTGGAGTCTGGAATTGTGTTGATAGAGCAATAGGGTCACCCCCTATTACATGGGACTCATAACATAAGTGGTGGAAAATAGGTGTCACTTTGTATATATGCAAACAGTACAACTATTGAGTATGCAAGTAAGAAAATAAGGATTTATTCATTACAGAGACTGTAATCATTGGTTGGTTGAACCGACCGTGTGTGTGTTACTATCCCTGTACTGAGTCTAGCTTTTGCATGCTAAATTACTATAGACAATACACCTCTGCTTACCCCGTCTATTTATGTTAGTCAATTTAAAATGTGTCAACTATTAAACAATAAAGTGCCAAACAATGTCTTTTACGAAATTATATGCCTTCATAACATTATCATAAGTCACATAATCGAACAAATATCACCTTGTATTAAAGGCTTTGTAAGTCTATTTTTCAATGTACAATTTTTGATCAAGATGTTGAGAAATTCACGTGAGGCTTAACAGACAACTCTTTGTAGAAAAATCGACTTTGTTTGTATGCAGTCTAAGTAAATTTTTCAATGACTATGTTTAAAAAAGAGCTTTTACGTACATAGGTGTTTGGTGCAGTGAAAAAACAACTTTGTGGCTTCGGTTTAATGTTCATTATCGCCTTGTCAAGTGCCAATATAATCATTTCCATTTGTTTAAGCTTCTCATATCATAGAACGCGTCTAAATATTTGGTCGCTCTCTATTAGAAGGTGATTTTTTATGAAAGAGAAGTCGTTTATATATAAGGTATATTTTCTATACAATTTTGAATAGGACCTTAATAAAAAAAAATTAAAAACAATCATATTTAAGTACTCATTGATAATTTAAAAGTTTTTAATAGTAATTAACCCTGGTTATAGTATGATTATAAGATTACATCACCAACAAATATAATAATAACAAATAGCACGTAGAATTTATAAAAAAGTAAAAAATCAGTATTCATTAAAAACAATTGCGTCACCATTAGGTAACGTAAAAAAAATTACGTTTTTAATACCTTCATGGATTAAAAAACATGGCGTTATATTAAAAAAAAATAAGCACGTTCCGAATTAATACCAAAAAAAAAAACAATAATTAATTCAGCCAACTTATGAGTTGGCTGGTTATCAAAAGAAAATATATTTTATACCAAAGCGAGTATCTTTCATATAAAAATGACTTTTTTAAAACAATTCCACTATTACCATTATCTTTTAATGCATCTCATATATTATACAATTTTAATGAAATTAGCTTCAAGTAGGCTTTTGTCATATTAATGTGAATATTTTTTTATTTCTTTACTATATAATGCTGTGTTCAAAATGTTCAATTTGAGGTTAGAACTGCGATTTTACCATTACATGGGACTTGTGACATAACCGATGTGAAGTGGGTGTTATAATATTGTATATTGCACCTCTGTCTATCTCTTTGGAGGTCAAAACGGCGTTTGTGTCTACGATTTTAGACCTTATTCTTATGTACAAAAGAACACAATTGAAATAATTTTGTTTTATTAGTGTTTTCTTTAGTCTCGTTTTATTTCGGTTATTATCGAAAGATTTCGATCTTGAACGGAACTCTTAGAGTTTTAAATTATAGATCTGCCGGTTTTTTAACAGTTGTACAACACTAATTAAAATGAATTTATTTTAATTGATGAACCGATTTTGTAATTCCACCTACACATAGAAAGTAAAAGATTCATATTGAAAACTCATTACCTATCTTTGCTACGTAGTCGGGTAAAATGATGGAATGGTTGTATGATCCGCAGTCGTAACCTCAAACGAATGCTTAGATATAATAACATTGTGACGCTAAGTTGTACAAAATGTATTTATTTATTATTATATTGTAATTAAAATAATATTTCTCAACAATTTCTGTGTGTTATTTGTTAAAAACCCTTGTAGTTTCTTAGTTTTAGTTTCCCTACATTCTTATAAAGTAGGCAGCGTAGGGAGGCCTTTGCCCTGCAGTGGTCTCACCTTAGAGTATGTACTCTAAAGGTTTCACCGACCGCTTCGGCTGATAGATCGCAAATGTATTGGTGAGCCAAGTCAAACGACAGATAACTGCATGCACTTGTATATTAAATATTTCGTAATTGCTGAATGCAATCATAAACTGGAAACGAATGCAGTTATGAGCTGGAAATGAATGCAGTCATGAACTGGAAATGAATGCAGTCATGAACTGGTAATGAATGAAGTCATAAACTAGAAATAAATGCAGTCATGAACTGAAAACGAATGCAGTTATGAACTGAAAACGAATGCAGTTATGAACTGAAAACGAATGCAGTTATGAACTGGAAATGAATGCAGTTATGAACTGGAAATGAATGCAGTCATGAACCGACTATGGGCTTAACTATGGGCTTTCTCACATAAGAGTCACACTAGAGAGCTTGCCCTAACCCCTACGCTTGGCAAACGAGTTCGCAGCTTGAAAGATTCATTTACCAGAGTGCTGCTGGTGGTTTCTATGACCAAAAAAAACATCGCACCGCGCGCCCCTCAGTAAAACATGTCATTTTCATCAGTATGACATACTAGTTAAGGTTCATTTTAAAGTGATTTACTATCGGTATCTTCGCCGCGCCTCCGCCGGTGTACGCTGGGCCTACTACATACGACACCGACAAGAAGAGAAGACATGAGAAATAAAACAAAATAAAAATAAATAATCAGTCCACTATTTAATATTAACAATTGCAGAGACAATCTTAAACTACATCCTCTTCAATCCTCCGTTTCCCTATAGAGAGGTCAATGGGTCCCTCGCAGCACTCTCCAGTTCCCTCCGGTCCCACCTTCGATTCTGGGTTGTGCCTTATAATACCGTACATTGGAACTTGCGCGGGCACAGTTTTCGACACCACTTTCAAAGTATTGTTGTATTTTGTCGAGTTTCGCGTGTGCATCCTGGGAAAATGTTAGATATTCGTTATGGGATAAATATATTGAAAACTACGAAAAATCGTTATCGTTCATAACGATTTTTCGTGGTTTAATATGTTAAAGTGTCATTTCTTATTTAAAAAAATTGCAGGCATTTGTAGCTGAAACGGTGTGCTTCTATTTACTTCCTTATGTAGAAATTATGGGGTTCAAAATTGTCATTGGTTTATTTAGTGCTCAATTCAAGTTTAGAATTAAAACTTTAGGACTACGAGGATTCGCTATTACATTGGATTTGAGTTAAAAAATACCTGCTTTCAAAATAACGAGTAAAAACTAACTAATAATTATGACATCGCATGGTCATATTATTGAAAAATATACTTACTTGTATTTGCGACACGCATCGTCTCTGTGTCGCTCCAAGTACCGTCGCTGGCTGAACGCCTTGTCGCAGGCGGCGCAGCGCCACTGCCACGAGTGGTGCCCACGCGTGCGCTGGTGCGCGCGGAGGTTTGAACTGGAGATATTAAATTTATATTTTATGGGACATAACGGGTTGACTGGTCCCCTCATGATAAGCAATTAGCGCTTTCAATATACACCCGACACTCCTGAGAAATCAGAGGCGAGTTGCTGGCCTATAAAAGAATCCTTTTTTGAAGGTCTCGTATATCAACGATAACATAGCAATAGCGGAGATAGTACGAGTGTATGACCAACTTAATGTTTCTTTCGGAGGTGGTTATCCAGACCAGTTAATCTTAATAATGGTGTAAATTGTGGTCAAGATACCTCTACCGAACCCTCATGCTTGGTGAGCATGAAAGCGACAACTTAAAATTACGACGATATACAAACAAGTTAAAATATACTCTATCTACTAACTCACCGATCAGCAAAAGTTCTTCCACAATGTTGATGAGGGCACGGAAAGGGCCTCTCTCCGGTGTGTAAACGAAGGTGTCCCTTCAGCACCCAAGGCCGGTCGAAACTCTTCCCGCAATAGGAGCACGTGTGAGTAGCGCGCGCGCAACGACGCGGCTCCGACCAATCACGTACATCTTGCATTTCTAAGGGAAAAAATAAAAGGGGCTACTTTTTTAAATGTTCCAGGATTTTTCGCTGTGACATGTGTGCGTTTACAAATAACAACCGACTATGACCGATGTAGTGACTACACCAACTGGGCAAGCAACTTTAGACTTTAAATAAGTTTAGTTATTAACTTCTGATGGAACGAACAGCTTTGAAATGATAACTAATTGATAGTTTCCAGAAAAGTTTTCTGCGCGAAAATCTTTAACAAGAGCAATCGTAGTATGTGACATACAAAAAAATATCCAACATAGTAGCTACAATTCAAATCTTGGTTAGTTTGAACTGAACTGAAGTAGAAAAAGGCTTAGAGAAAAGTCACGATTCAACAACTTCTAGATACTTTATCGGACATTTCTGGCTTGCATGATTAATGTGGCACACCAAAGAATATTCGATTCTCGACATCTGCTTATTTATTTAGTTTTATTTTCAGGCGTCGTCCGTTCAAGTTTTGCTCTGCTGTAGGCGTTCCCCAAGGGAGCGTCCTGGGTACAAAACTTTCCTATATTCATTTCAGTGACACAACGAAATATATTCCAGTTTACAGAGGTCAAGCGTTAAAATTAGAATATATATTTCACTTGCTATTGTTTTAAAATTCTCTGAAACATTTCTGTTGTTTTATTTTTCGTAAAACGTGAAAAGATCTTTTCATTGTTTATGTATTTCTTTCTATAAAAGAAAATTGAAGGCAGAGGGTCTGTAGGATAAAGAAATAAGAGTAGAATTTTTACAGAAATGTCTTTTAGCTAAACCTTGGCGACTAGACTATCAAATTGTTTGACGAATTATACTATTAGGAAACTGTTTATGGTAATGACGGCACCGCCCGATAGGCCAACAAACAAGACATCACTACATATAAATATTGAATGTAACATGTAAGTCAATTAAAAGTAACGAGAGGAAACTAACTCACCATTCTCCTTGGCATCCTCCTTATCTACACTATCCACACTATCCTTGTCGAAGGACTCGGTGCAGGTGAGCAGTTCCTTGTCCAGCTTCTCATCAGCACTGGCCTTCACGAGGCTCTTCAGTTTCTCCGCTATCTTGTCTATTTCTGAACCACCTGTGACAAATAAATGTGAATATTTGGCTGCTACCAAAACTTCTTGATATCTCTCCGTATGCTGCGGTTACCAAATTACCTGATGCCAGTTACGTTGCGATAAAGTATATAATCTAGTGTAAAGGTACGTGTACTTTCTCATGTACCTGTTGTAACTATTTCGAATTATGTGCCAAGAAGGCTCGGCTTCAAAGCCTCGAACATAGGCGTAAGGTTGCAAAGCCTTTCGGTTTTCTACTGGATGCATTTCTGTGGGTGTGCGGGGGAATTGCACAACTTGATTCCCCCTAGCCCTTTCCATCATCGTACCACAAGACAATTATCGAAGCGTAACCGATTCATGGTAGATGTCCCACCCAAACGCAAGAAGAGCTTCGCATCAAGCTTCCTTGTGCGTACTGCTAAGAAGTGGAAATATTATAATTCGCATAGGTTGCTTATGGGCAGACGTGCTCCATCATAGGCCGCATCGTCGCTTACCACCAGTCCAAACGTCGCCCCATCAAATATAAAACAATATATATTTCTATATAACGCACATTTGCCAAACTGAATAGTCCTGATACTCGGCACCGACTTTAAAACAGCCAGAGCTTTTGATAAAATTAAATATCTTATTGTAAGCTTTCTTGCTAACGATAGAGTTTTCGTACTTACCGGTTTTTACGATAGCGGGGTAATTATGTGGAAAATTTCCTTTAAAAGGAAAAAACATTTACGTCAGTGTGGCATTTTAAAGATCTCGTTGGTTATGTCATTATGTTTTAAAATTAAGAATGTTTTTGGCCTACAAATTGTTATGAACCTATTTAGTACTGCTGCCAGTGGGTTGTAGACAAATCTTTAAAGAATCATTATAAAATACGAACCAACCTTTATTATTAAACTTCAAAGGCTCCCTGCTCTTAATTTCTTCGATGATTGGCGCCAAAGGTTCCTTCCTCGGCTTCCGTTTCCTGTTGACTTCCTGTATCAGTTCGGAAATCGATTGCGTTTCGTTGTCGCATCCGTTGCGTTTCCGTCGATGCGTTTTGTCGTACGTTTTGCGTTCCGTTTTTGCTTCGGATGATCTCAAATTGTATGTTTTATCTGTGTCCTTCTTTGGTCCTAAGGTCTTAGTTTTCGTTAATTCTGGTGATTTCACTGCTTTCTCGCTCTCCGATGCGTATTCATAAGGCTCTGTTTCTTGGAAATGTTGTAAAAACTGACTTTTCTTAAGCAGTTGCAGGTAGAATCGTGTGGAGATCGGCACTTTGTCGTGGTATATCGTTTCGTTCGTTTTTAGCAGGTTCTTCTGCCGTTTTATGTTTAATTTCGATACGCGCGTCGATTTAATTTCGTCTGTAAATTGCAGGTTATGATATATGGACACAATGTAAACTTAGTCTAATTGAACTAAAGGGAATTGGACTACAACGGCAGGACTAATCGATAAAATTACTCAAGTAATTCTAAAAAGGTTTGTCTAGGGCTTGTACACGTAGCATTAATCAATCGCAGTGCGACTAACATGAGCCTAGATTGAAATAGGTTCTGTAACCTCGAATATTTTGTTTGCTGTCTTTGTGAAGTATCAGTTACAAGTATTCGTTTTTATTCATTGTATTGTACCGCATAAATACATGGGTATTTTTTTTTAGGGGGGAAAATCATCGAATGACTGCTCCCGCCTGGGTGAGGCGAGAGGGAGTGTCAGACTCTTATTGAATAAAAACCACCCCGATCCTTCTCCTGCACGTTGAGCCGGAGCCCCGGTTACCCGTTAGGTTCTCCGCGACTCCGAAATTACATAGGTATAAGACCACGACCCATTGTCAAAATGACAAAATCAGGCCAATTATTTCAGCCAAACCATGTTAACGCAGATATTTTAAAATACAATCACAATCAAAATAGAAATATCCGTCAGCTATTCATTGAATTCAGCTACGAATTGATAACGATCAAACGATTGCCCCGACCTCCTAAACGCTAAGAGGTTTACAGTAACTGTTCCTCCAGTACGCCTACACGACACCCACAGAGGGTGGCCCTCTGAAATATAATTCGCACTTATAAAAGGTACTTGTTTGTCTTGTATGCACGTGTCAACTTTTATATGAAGCTGTTTTTATCGGAGAGGATGAGCAGAGCTTTGGCTGAGGTATTATCGTATTAATATTATAAATACAAGTGCGACTGCTAGGCAAGGGGTCTCGGAGATCACCAGGGCAAATTACTACGGCGTTTAAAAAAATAAAACTCAGTAATAGCATTGAGTCTGGAATTGTGCCCGGTATATGGCAATAGGCTCACCCCCTATTACATAGGATACATAACGTAAATAGGGAAAAGTGGGTGTTACATTGTACAGTGGCATCAAGTGTCGTAATGTGCACCTCTGCCTACCCCTTCGGGGATAAAAGGCGTAATGTTATCCTTACTTATATTATAAATCGGAAAGTGAGTTTGTTTTTTTTATGATAAGCCGGTGAACGAGCAGACGGATCACCTGATGGTAAGCAATCGGCGCCGCCCATGGACACCAGAGGCGTTGAAAGTGCTTTACCGGCTTTTCGGGGATTATAAATTTGAGTACTGATGGTGATCAGAGATTGAGGAGATTGGCGAAGGGCGGGTATGAAGTAGGCCTCCGGTAACCTCACTCACACGACGAAACACATTGCAAGCGTTGTTTCACGTCGGTTTTCTGTGACTCCGGTCGAGCCGGCCCATTCGTGCCGAAGCTCCTACACTTTAAAAGTGTACGTACTGTTTACCTGCTTAGGAGTTAAGAGGTGTGATGTTAAGTATTACTTTATTAGATTATTAAATACTTCGTGACGTAGCCCACTTCAAGTTTGATTTCTATTATAAAAAGTCGCTTTTTCGTGAACGTTTTAGTTGAAGAGAACAAAATCCTCTATTGCCGTATGCAGGATATTTATATAACTTAAACTACTTAAGTAATCGGTATCCGTTTGGAATCGTTTATAGCTATATGGTCGTGATTGATTTATGAAACGTAATAAATCTGTTTGACGAATATATTAAAGGATAAAACGCCGTCGCCCTAAAATATATTTCAGATAAAAACACAGGAATTATCAAAAGAAACGACAATGTTCCGAGAATCGTAAAAATTCGACCAAACCTCAACCAGTGCCGATTCCTAGTAAATTAATAGTTCACGATTAACGGAAATAATAAAAAAATATAATTCATTACGCCCATTGCGTTTTCTAATGTAACATTTTCATTTAAATTGGGTATTATAAAAATATATTTATTCAAAAAATTATAGTGACACTGTCAGTACAGTTCGAAAGATAAAGTTTGGAAAATAGTGTTTGCGACAAGGAAAAACGTTTAAATCATACGAAAAAACTGTGAGTATCGTAGAATAATTCATCTCCTATCGTTCTACACCACAAACTTGCCTCCACTTACCCAGCGTATAAAAATATTTGAAACAATTCTTGGAATACAAAGTGACTTACTTTCAACGGAAAATTCACCAAATTCCTGTATGAAACTCCTCTTCAGCCGTCTCACAGAGTTTATAAAACACCTGGGCATGATGCCAACGGTAGAAAAATATTTTATTATATTACAGTTTACTTAAAATTATAAATCAAATTATGTGAAGTTCTCAGTACTTGTGAGCACTTGCTGCAGGGAAAGACAGAAACAAACGACATTAAATTTTATTTTAAGAATTCCAAATTCGAATGAAGCTGCCATTTCTTGCTAGTCCGTGAAGGTTTTATATTTCTTTGAAATTGTATTAAACCTCTATGTATCATTGTTGCCGTGATTTCCATAAAGATTTTCCGTAAATAGGTTTGTGGACGTAGCAGTACATAAATAATGAAATAATTTGATCTGTTGTCGTATTCGCGGTGAGAAAAGTGTTTGGTATTTGTGATGCAGCGTGCCTAATCTTTTGATCTCCCGCCAAGATGTCATTAACTTCACTGAAGAATCTATGAGTTTATTGATGACTAGGCTCTGAAAATTGAACTCGACATGATCAATTTAGAGAGTAAGTTGTTCTTCTGTGTAAAATCTCAGTGTTTACTCGTTATTGACAGTAACGGCATTAAAAGATTGCCAATACAGAAAATGAGGAAACCTCTACGGTTCTGAAAAGCTCTCATCACGGCATGTGTCGTGAAAAGCGTAGATAATGAGCAGGCGCGCGAGAGGCGCGCGCGGGTGTGGCGGGGGAGACTGCGCATCGATTATTCGGCGGCGAGCGCGCGTCGCGACTGCACGCGCGCACTCATGCTCCCGTTTACCGCCCGAAACGATCGCGACGCCGGGAAATGTTAAATAATTACAAGAAAATATATATTAGCTGGATCGGACGCGTGTGTACGTGTGACCAGAGTGTGTAGTGCATGAAGTGGCGGTGGTGCGGGTGATGTCAAGCTAAGGGCGGCGCGGCCGAGCCGGCGACGACATGGGCAACTCTTGCAGCTCGGGGCAAGCACACAAGGACAAGGATAATGTATCACAACATTCTGAAGAGTGAGTACCTACTGCCAAGACACTATGGAGTGACGCGTGAAGGTCGACACGCTCACAATACTATCGTTAGCTAAATGACTTGAAAGAAAACAACGTAGTTATTTATGTATAATATTTGTTGTACATGCGGTAGCCGCTGAGATAAGCGCACTGTTGTGAAATCGTCAAAATAAATCAATACATCGACCGCGCTTGCCTACAGGTTGTCTAGAAAATGTATTTAATAAGAAATTGATAAAAAAATGAAAAATGTTCGGGACGACCTTGGACTGTTTTGGGTGGCCAAGAGAAAAGCAAAAATGATGGAATACTCGGCCACACTAAATATTCTGACACGCGCATATGTAGAAACTGATAAGTAGCATGAATGAACTCATTAATCAATTAATACAGTCGTCGACATTGTTCAGCTCAAGTGTTCCAATTAAATATGGCAAAGATTGTTCTTTATACCCGAAGTACGTGAAACCCTGCCCTTTTTCCATCTACGCAATGGAGTCATTTTGATAAAGTAAAGAAAAACACTTTAAATCTAAATGAAAGCTTATAATTATGAGCTAGATATAAACTCTTAACAAAATGGTTGCACGACAGCAGCACTACGATATAATATTAAACAAGAATACAATTTTAGAAAACTTCGCAATAATAATCCCAGAAGATTTAGGACCAATGAAATAATCGAATAAAAATCTTGATCTGAAATGACAAAGCTTTCTATAAAAGATATCGAAACAGACTATAGGTATAGTTAGGGCTTGGACCATAATTTCTAGACATGAATTGGAAACTTCTACATACAAATACTTCTTCTTCTTCTGGCGGCGCTGATCGCTTACCATCAGGTAATCCGTCTGCTCGTTTGTCTCCTATTCCATAAAAAAAATTCAACAAAGGAATCTCTTTTATGAACTGCATAGGTTGCTTTATATCTTGTAAATTATATAGAGCTATGTGTATTTTTAAGTTCTGATGATTTAATTTAATTCACATTAAATATGGGCATAAATTTGGAAGTGATTTTTTAAATCGTTGACTACCGAATATAAAAATGCTATGTATTCAAACCTCATGATTCATGACGATCACCTGTTTTTCTAAAAGAAGTAACGTCTGACCAAATATTGCTGGTTTCTGCTATGAGAGAATCCTAAAGGGATTCTGGTCAAGATCTCTAATAGAATAATAGTAATGGATTCCTATTAAGTTTTAAAACTGAAGAATAACGGGGTGTTGCTTACAGGTATCTTGATCACTCTGTCCCAATATCCCCAAGCCTATGCGCATAATGGAATCTATATATGTAATATATAAAAATGAATCCTTTTTCAATTTATCAATTTCCTTGGTCACGGCATCACGCGTGAATGGCTGGACCGATTTCACTAATTCTTTTTTTGTTGTATTATTAGGAGAAGGTTCTTATGACAGAAAAAAAATACGGGAATGGGTCAAAACGGGATTGCGCGTACGAAGTCGAGGGTCGAAGCTAGTGATCTTATAAAAATCATTCAGTAGTTTTTGACTCTATCTTCTACAAAGTTACAAACAGTTTAATGCGTTCCTATGTCAGTTACCTGAGTTGTCAAAACCAAGACTAGGAAAAAAAATGCTTTAATTAAGCTGTAGCGGGATAAAAATATTTATAGAGGTACAACATATTTATGTATGATTACTTGGCAATGTAAAAATACGCTGCAATTTCTAATATTATCATAATCTTTGAATTAAAAGATTGTATGCTTAATCCATGAATTGGTAGCGACCATCGGACTAATACTGTAACTTCTTAAAAAAATCCAGAAAATATTAATTGCTTTTGCGTTGTAATAAAGCGTTATGTTAAAATGAAAATGGCAACTTTAAATAGAACGAGGGACGACCCCGTTTAACCCTACTATTGAAAATGTATCAGGAATCAGGGGTGTTACAACATTTTGGTTAAGCTATGATTAGAATATTAAACTTGTAATATCTACCTTGAAATTAGTCGAGGTACTCGTGACGATAAAGCTGAAAAACATAGCAATTAATTTAGTATGTCTCTTGTAATCTACTTTTGCGTTTGTCTTCCCGATACAATTCCCACAGACGTTTATTTGCTTGTATTTACAAATACAAAAACAATGACCAAAATCGATACAGATAATGTTTAGCTACCACTATCGTTGGAAAGGTTGTCAATACATTGGTGATTCTTAATTTTAATCTCAGTCAGTCAGTCGTCAAGCAGCATGTTGATTGCATTTATCAGTCAGTCAAGCAACAGACTTACTAATTTGATGATGAAATATTGTATCTCATCATGAAATTAGTAGCGAGGTTTAATAAGCTATGCCTAGCTATGCTATGTACTATATAGCCCTATAGCTAACTTATACAGAAGAGGCCTTTTTTTAAGGGGGGAAAATCATCGAATGACTGCTCCCGCCTGGGTGAGGCGGGTGGGAGTGTCAGACTCTTACTGACTAAAAACCACCCCGTTCCTACTCCTGCACTTCGAGCCGGAACCCCGGTAACCTGTTAGCTTCTCCGCGACTTTGTATCGGCATCAGCCATATTGGGCCCCATCCGTGGCGGTCTGATGGCTCTTTGAGGTGCGCGCGGAACGCAACGCGCCGTACGCTCGGGTCTGTTTCTGGTCGGACGGGGAGCCACCCATGCGCGCCGTCCGCAGGCCCGCGCTTACGGTGGCCGGAGAACAGGAAGAGCCCTATGACCAGTAACGTGTTTACCATAAGGGGACTCGGGGCCCGTGCCTTGAGCCCCCAATCCTCAGGGGCCCCGCTACCAGTTGCACACCCGCTATAAGTTGCATAGCAACCGACTGCCCCGCAATGTTAGCGGGTTCGATTCCTGCACGAAACAAATCTTTATGAGATCCACAAAATGTTGTTTCGGATCTGGGTGTGATGAACACACATGAACATGTGAACTTGTATGTTTGCAAATGCACCCACGATACAGAAGAAAATCCAACGTTATAAAAAAGGAGCATTGCAAAAGGAATCTGAATTATTGTGCCCCAGGGCCTCAGCGTAGTGTAAGACGGCCCTGCTTAAGACTGTTCCTATACTTCGCTTATTTTATAAAATCGACGTGAGAATCGAATCCCTCTTATTTAAGTAGAGAAGGCCCTTGAGGCTCATAGATTAACTGTAGTCTATAATCCCTATCATGTGCATGTTGACGGTGCTTGCAACGTATCATATCTGTTGACTTTTGCTGGTGATCCTTAGAAAAGATCTTAGTCCGGAATGCAGCGTACAGGTAAAAACTTAATTATCCTTGATCAAAAGCGCTCAAATATATTTTAAAGCATACGGCAAGAATCGTACTGGTCTATTATGTACTTCGATCACTGAATCGATTGATGATTCTGTAAGTCTTTCGAGGAAAGAACCACACATTCATTATCATCACCATCACTAAGCTCGTGGTCATCTACTGCTAGATTAGAAACTTCCTCTATATGATAGGGTCCATTATCTCTATGTTTGCCAGGTCGAATCGAAACCTAGTAGTATGATCAGATAAAGTATGCCTTTGTGATTCTGGTTTCTTAGATACCTTGTACCTGGACTCTGTCAAAGTCCGTGAGTCTAAGTAGTTTAGGAACAACACGGATGCTGACATTTGTATTTTCGTCATATTTTAAGTGTGGGATAGCCATGCTTCGGCACGAATGGGCCGGCTCGACCGGAGTGACAGCCTCACAGAAAAACGACGTAAAACAGCGCTTGCGTTGTGTTTCGTCGTGTGAGTGAGGTTACCGGAGGCCCAATTATCCCCCTCCGTAGTCCCCGTCTCCCGAATCCCCGAATCCTCCACAATCCTCAAATACCAAAATCCCAAAAGGCCGGTAACGCACTTGTAACTCCTTGGTGTTTCGAGTGTCCATGGGCGGCGCCGATTGCTTACCATCAGGTGATCCGTCTGCTATTTTATGCTATAAAAAAAATTAATTAAAATGTTACATGGCGTTACCAGGTCACTTCCAAACGGCCCATCTGGAAGTCATTGGGGGAGCCCTGTGTTCAGCAGTAGACGTCCTATGGCTGATATGATGTTGATAATGATGGTGTTACCAATTTCATTACCTTTTTATGAGAGATTGACAGGGCGAAACCTTCAAAAGGCGCCTAGCTCTTTTGGGGAGGGAAAAAACTATTAGTGTGGATCCCTTACCTTACTAAAACCACCGCGGTGGCCACCATCATCTCTTATAGCGGGCACCCGGTTCTCTAATAACCAATTTCATTACCTATACATAGGTTAGGTTAGGTATCTACCTACTGAATTTATTTACTTACCTTCACAACGTAGCCACTTTATTTAGAAAGCAGGTATGTTGGTGTGTACAGAACTAATGAACCAATTAATGTGTAATTAACTCTAGCAGGTGCCTACGTCATTGTCTTGTCGAGCTTACTCGTGACGACATTGACGAACGCGGACTACATTGTAACGTGTCAGCTTGTGACTGAACGGGTGGGGCTATTGGTAGGGACAGGTTTAAATGTCGTGCACCTCTACGTACTATTCAACATCTACTCTTGTTACGTTGAGTTCAGTGGGGCCTACCGTATTTTGGCTCACCAGAACGTCTCGGTCTTCGTCCAATAGAAAATTTGCTAGTGTCCCGCTATTGGACGTTCAATGTTTGACAGCTGCTGTGGATTGAACAAAAATATCTCTTTCTACATCTGCGCCATCTAGTAAAATACGTTAGCTCCCATTCCATGTCGTCATCTGTGACCACTTGCTCTACACAATATATTGAATGTGACGATAGTCTAGCCCTCACACTACTTGGCCTGTTGAAATAAACATGTTTGTTGAAATCTATTAAAAATGATATTATTCTTGTTTAATACAATTTTCGGACTACGTACTTGAAGTAAGTACGCTTTTACCATAATAATATTTTATAGTGAAAGCTTTTACTTCGATTAGACCATTACAGACATTTTAAGAGTCATTGAAGGCAACGGACAATC